GCCTGAAACAAAAAAGGAATCTAATTCCTGGGCATCTGGTTTCAAAAATTACACAAGAAACTTTCAACAAAGACAGAAAATACAAAGACCAGCCAGTACCACTGTTACAAGTTTGTCAACAACCTCATTTATGAGTCTTCACCTTATTAAGCTGCTATGTGAGATGCTGGTTCTCCTCCTGATATATAGTCCCTTGACTAGCTTTGCCTGGCCCATGTGTTCTTGCAGGGGGAGCAAAGGCACAGCATCGTGCTGCAGCTGCAGCCCTCAGGCTTGCCACCACACAGTCACTCAAGTGCACACCCTGATAACAGGCCACTGCTGCCTTAAGTCATCCCAAACTTGAGGGTCCCAATGGCATGGCTAAGAACAGACAAGTACAGCATAATACGGCTGGATGCATCTCAGGGGACAAGAAAACAGAGATCTTCTGATAGTGCAGTATTCTGATAGTGCAGTAATCATTACTAGGGTATGAAGAAGAAGAGACATACTTTTCCCCCCTCTTTTGTCTGGGGTTAGTAGCATATATTCAAGGGGCCATTGAAACTTCCCCTAGTCTTCAAAGTCTTCTTTTTCTGCTTGAGTAATGCCGGCCAAGAGCACAAAATCAAACTTCTCCAAAACATGCTGCTTGTAGCAAAATGCTAACAGAAACTCAAATTCCCACTTTGCTATCTGTCAGTGTATCAGACTTTCAATCAAGTTTCACTTCATTCAACTGCCTGGTCTATTCCAAAGTTTGCAGTAACATGAAATGACTAGATGTGCTAAAATTATATTCTCATCTAATTCTTAGCTGGGTGGATTAGACTGCAAGATACAGAAACATTAAAAACTGAATCCAAACTGCTAGAGCTTTGAAACTCTTAGATAAAGGCAAATGAAAGATAACATCCTATGCAAACACAACTCAAGCACAACCTCTTGATCTTCAGTATCAAAGAAAGGAGATTCAAAGCTAAATTTGAGTTTGTGCTTGCCTAGGATCAGCATTTGACCTTTTAAAACTTAAAAACCAGCTGCTTTTTACCAAAGAGCACTACAGGTTCTTCAAACTGTTTTGAGAGTTAGTTTGTTCTCTTGTCTGTTTTTAATTAAATTGTCGTTTTACGGTCCAGATAGTTCTCATTCATTAAATCTGCCAGACTACCACCAATATTAACAACTAGTGAATCTATGATCAGTTTCAGTTATATATAGACTATCATGGCTCTGATCTGGTTTATAGTTCTTATCACGCAGGTGATTTCATATTTGTTCCAAATTATTTATGAAAACAGGATTAACGTTGAAAATCTCAGAATCATGCATCAAGCCAAACAACGACAGGGTTCATGATGGTTAAAGGATATATTTTGAATTTACTGTGTTCCCTACCAATGTTGTGATAATATTCTATTCTCATACAGAATAAATAGTAGACCATTTAATAGCATCCTCAGGAAAACTGACAAAGTAATTCTGCAGAACTCCTCCATCCTCAGCAAACACTGTTGGTGATAATGCCAGGATCACTTTCTTGAGTTGTAACTGCCATTTGCAAGCTAAGCATCATGTAAAAATGGTAGAGCCTGTTTCTCTGAAATATTCATTACCTCACATTTTTCTATGACGAAGACAATCTGCTGCTTGTTGCCCATCCACTCAGTTTTTGAGTTTACCAGTATCAGCTCAGCATTTCACTACCTTGGAGAACATAATGTCATGGGCATCCTTGGAAATGTCACCATACACCTTCTGTCTATAAATAAATTCTCACATTCATGCAACTTACAAAAATACCTATGTTGGTTTCTGTTACAGCTGTAATCTCTTGTGTCCCCCCCCAACTGATGGGTATGTTTGAATTTTGCTTGAGAACTATGTCTAAAATGGAGTGTCTATGCCCCATCTGTAAATGTGCAGGATTATCATAATCAATTATCTTGGTAATCAATAGCAAAAATTAACTTTACAGCATATAAAATTTCTTTGCCATTTAAATAATGCTTAGCACATTACACTTGAATTTGAAATCTCTGTCAGATTTCATTTCTGCAATCTATTCAATTGCTAATTTCTTCCCACTTCCTTTATCTTGAGATATGCTGAGCCAAAAAATGTAATAGAAAACAGAAGTTCAGTTGATCACTACTCCTCTGTTTGAGCTACTGAGAATCAGCTTTCAAAGCAGAGTACAATGTATTGACTACAAAGAATAAAACATAAAATCTATTAAAATACTTATAATCAGTTTTCTGTTTTGCAGAAGGTTCTAAATTTCAATATCTACTTTTATTTTTCTTTTAATTTGCTAAATGAAAATGTATTCTACTCAGTCTATTCTCCCTTCAGTATAACCTTCTTAAATTATGGTTTTAAATTGTGGTTGCATTCTCTCATTCCTAAAATTAAGTGACTTACACTAAAATCTTAGCATCCCCTTTATGATCATAAAAATATATTAACCGTGAACATTTTAAGTTTTAGGAAATATAGAAAAGGACTACTAAAACTTAACTGATCCAAATATAAGCACACTGGCTTAAGAGTTTGTTTGACAAATAGTCTATTAAATGTATTCTGAAAAAGAGAAATAAAAATAGTTTAATTCACCCTGATCTATTATAACATACATTATCTGATTTGCATGAATAAATTTGCTATAGTACAAACACATGCAATCCACAACGTCATGGCTATATTAGCTCTTTTGGACTGCAAGTAGAGATCAGTACCTTCAGCTATTCTTATTTGCTCAATGCTTTGTTCTTAATGAAAAAATAAGGCTCTTTGGGTGACATGGGTAGGAGAGAACCTAAGTATATCAAATCAAATTAGGACAACTATTGAACTACTAAGATGCCAAAGCATAAAAGAGATTAAAATCCTATAACACCTATGACAGGCTATATGAAGACAGCATGGCAGATAGACCTGGCTAGAGCACACCATATATTCCGGCCAACTAAGCTTTCTTTCCTTTGAACATCCAGTCTATGAAAGTGAAAAGACGAAGGAAAGAAGAAAAGCATATCCTGGGAAGCATCAGCTATACTGAAAATAGGATCTGTTTCCAAGATCTGGGAGCAAAAGTGCTCTCTGGCTTTGACGCTGATGGGAAGACCGGGTGATGAATTAAAGTGAAAGATTCTCCATCCTGACACACACAGGTCTTGCTAGAGTACATCAAAACCATTTCTATCCCAGTTTAACACAGCACTTTCTGTATTCCTTCTACAGCAATGCATTTATTCATGCAGACTTCACCAACTAAGGTCTCTGCAATTACTGTCCTCAAAATTGGACAAGCTGTCACAGTATCACAGTATCACAGTATGCTAGAGATTGGAAGGGACCTCAAAAGATCATCTAGTCCAATCCCCCTGCCGGAGCAGGAACACCTAGATAAGGTTACACAGGAATGTGTCCAGGCGGGTTTTGAATGTCTCCAGGGAAGGAGACTCCACAACCTCCCTGGGCAGCCTGTTCCAGTGTTCTGTCACCCTCAACCCTCTGTCATTCCACAGGAAAAAAACCAAACTGATCAACAAACCAAACAGACCAAAAAGAGGGATGCATGTGCAAGCGTTTAATGTAAAACCTTCATCTAGGGAACATAACTGATCCTAAGCTTCCTTAAGATACAGAATGTGCCAAGAAATTCCATATCGTTCTAGCACTGCCTTGAGGTAAAGCAGCATTCTGATACACATTTCTACTGAAAAATGAAGGAAAGTACCAATCTTCACTAGAACTAGAACATATTACTTATTCTCAGTCAAAGCTCAAACACTAATTTCTTCTGTGTTGTCAAAGTGCTATTAAAATTATGTGTTATTGTTTTGTAAGTGTTAGCACTTAGATAACAAGTTAAGGCTTGGAAACACAGATGGGTTTCCTTTGTACAAAAGATCAGCTTTTAGTGTGATAAATAAATGCCATGGACTCCCTTCTGTAGCAAGTAGCATCACCATCACATCCTGGAAATGCATCAGAAAGAAATATTTAAAGCACTGCTGAAGTCTCTGACAGCTGTAGCTTACTTGTTTCACCTCCTTTTAACATGTTCAAAGTGAAACATTAATCGTGATTAAACTCAATAACCACCATTCAGGATACTCCCTTACCACTCCCAGTGAACACTTTAACTGTTTTTCCTCCCTCACTCTAAATCAAAAAGAGGTACATGACACATCAGAAGTGACAACTGTTGCACTCTACTAGTTCTTCTAGTACGTGCATAGCACTCATTAATGTACCTCTATAAGGAATATTCTGGGTTTTAAAAAACGTGTGAAGAAAGCTATACTGGTGACCGCATTTAAAAAGAGAGTATCAATTAATTTAGGCCTAGCATCTAGGTTAAGAACATATGTTGTACAAAGCCTAGTATATAACAAAATACCTTTTTTTTTCTTTTTTTCAATTGGAAATTCCCTTTTTAAAGAAATCAAACCATTTTTGCATTATCTGTAATTCAAAACCTCTTGCTTCCTGTGACTGCATGAGAAAAAAAAAGAAAAAGATGCAAAAGTGATTATAAACAACACTAAATGAACCAGTCCATGCCTTTTAGCCAACCTATGAAATGTAGATACTAATAGCTTTAATGATGAGAAGTGAACTAGATTAGGATTAACTGTATCAATTAGCTAAAGTATTATTAGGACTACAGAGATATATTTTAATGACATACTATTAAATTGAAATATGATAAATGAACTGTAAATTCTGTAAATGAACCTCCAATCTGTTCTACTTTTAATCAAGCAATAACATGCTGGTTTGGTTTCTTTAAACATTACAAGTGAAATTATAAAAATGTGGAGTACAGAAAGGAGAAGGTAGAAAAGAAGAATTAAACAAATGACAGTGCATGCAAAATTTAATTACTGATAATCTGCTATGAATATGAAAATTCCACAAGTTGAGTGATCCTTTGAATATTTAAACCTTGAGCAAATCTAAAATTACTAAAAATAATTTCATTTTATTTTTGCTCTCTTTTAACCTACCTCTTTTTTTTCTCAACTAACTGTCTGCAGATCTCCTGCCACCGGGTGTTCAAACTTTCCAGCTGTTCCTTCAGCACCTTAGCATCTGCTGTTGATGACTGCCCAATAATTTCTTCACCAGTTACATTCAATGTTTTGACAACAGTTTGCTGTCTCCCAATGCCATCCTGAAGCTCCTGCAAAATACCCAACACATACACGTATTCATAAAGGTGTCAAACATGAGACAAAATGCTTCACCACATACTGGTCAGATGGAAAGTTTTTTGCTGCCCTCTGAATTCCAACTGAAAAAATCCAAAGGCTAGAGGACAGAAAGACATCTCATGTTTCTGTAAAAGTAACTTTCAATGCACCTCTACAGCCTTTTTTCCCCTTTTGTCTGCTAGAGATCATTACAGTGATCTTCAGCAGATCAATCAATAAGTAAAACTTGTGAGCAAATTTACTCCTTCACCCCCAAAGGTATACACCATGTTTATTTTATAGCCTATGAAGCACTGTAAAATTTAAAGTACACACTGTTTGGGGTTCCTAATAGCTACCAACACAAATAAGCAATGTTGAGAAAGTGAAAACTGATGACTTCTAGTGGTTCCATTAAAGAGCACCTTTGTCTCCATGTGTAAGAAGCCTGATAATCCATCCCCTCATGGGTTTTTGAGGGTTTTGGGTGTTTTGGTGGGGTTGTTGGGGAACTACATTTCTATTATCACATCGATTTTTCTATTTACTCAACAGAATTTAAAACTGCCAAAAGATAATGAAGATGGAGAATTTTTCATGTTTTACTAAACACATTGTAATCTATTTTCTACACCTTTTATCATTAAAAAACTATCATACCTGTAGCTACCTTACCCCATACTTAAAAACAACACAGATCTGAGTTTGCAGCTTAGCTTTTAACACTGTATGTCTGTTTATGAAAGGTTGTATTTATAAATAAGGTAATAAATCTTTTCATATTTTTAGTCATCAATAGAGCATGAGTATGTTTTTCCTTGAATTCCTCAAAATGTACAAGCAGGGAAGTGTAAAATCATTTTCAACACTTCAATTGCTAGCTCCTAATTCATTCAACTGCAGAAAGTCAATGTCAGCTAGGCACTGCAGTTTTTACCCACAGTCCTGGACAGAAGTTGCAGCCCATTTTATTATGCTTTGCTAGGATTAGTAAAGTTTTTTCTGCTGGATACTAGCAAGCTACAATGATCCAGTCGTGGCACATGAGGACACCTGCTGGTCCAAAGTGTCCCAGCACAGTTCACTTTGCCTAGGGAACATTTAGGAATTTAAGATAACATCGTAGCAGAAACTGCAAGATCTTCTAAGAACAAGAAAAGCCCCATTCTTTGAGGTGTTACATTTTCCTGTCTTTGTATGATGCACATCAATATAATAATATCTGATGCAACCTTTGCCCGTTAATATAAGGTACACAGTTTACTATTAGGTGATAGCAGTAATGGTTAGGCGGTTTGTCTAAATGCAAATATTGTCTATTATTTTGAGGCTGAAAAAACACTGTTTTTTCCAGTGGACACCTCAGGTTTGATAACGTCCACCTTAAAATTAGCATCTATTTTTTTGTACACACATGAAATACATGTCTGTATTTCACACTGATTCCAGCACTAGGGCCTTTGCATAATGCAGTAGGGAGCATTACACAGTAAATCATAAAACTAAGATGTATAGTCTTGGGAAAAATGTATCTCAGAGTAAGTGGCTTATTTCCACTGAGGCACCTGAAACAATTTTGCTACTGCATGCACCTGCATGAACTTTAGATCCACAGCACTTACAGAAAAAATAACTTCGAAAAAAGCTTCTACATATACACAGCATGACTGTTCATTTAGAATAGGAGATCAAGGCAAGGAGAGCAAAGAAGGGAAATTCTTCTTCCTGAACTCCAATGGTTTTTAGAATTAAAAGTTTTAGAATTTAGCGGTCCTCTCTGCACCAGCTTTTCTAAGTTACATAAGTAACCACTAGTCAGTACACTATTATAAAGTGAAATGGTAATTAAAAGCCCATTTAAATACTTGGAGCCCCTTTCCTGCATTCACAGCATCTTAAATTTGTTTGTCTCCCTCCCACAACATACGCAAAAAAAAAAACAAAAAAAAAACACCACACTTATTTCAATTGACACATAATTAAGCAAGGGAATCTTCTGATTTATCCTGTGGCATATTATACAACAGGACTTACTTACAAAGTAAAAAACAGACAATATCCTGCTCAGTGTCAGAGATGGTCGAACTTACAATCCCTAATGCCAAAAGGGAACTTTGCGCAGGATATGTAGGAGGAAGTGTGAACTTCCACCAGAACACAAAAGGCTTCTGGCCATCCGGATTTCCAATGATCTTAAAGAACCCAATATGAGACTATTTTTTTTCCAAGTACTATATGCATTGGACATTTTTTCACATGATTAAATTGAAACACATGTACTGATGAAGTTCATCTAGATTCCACAGCTTAAGAAAAAGTAGATTTTTCTTGATACCAGGTACTTCACACACAGCAAATTTTGAAGACATTTAGGTTTTATTTATGTATAAAGTGGACAAAAGTGTTTTATCTGTTTTGCTGAAAGTCATGTTGTCACACACTCATCCCAGAGAAATAAGACACAAAGATGCTTTTCACAATTTACACTCAGTATCTAAAATTTGTCAACAGCTCAGATCCCTATTCATTGCACCTCTGTCCTTGCCTCACACCTGCATGAGGGCAACGTGCTGTGAGCCTGGAAGAGGTTGGCTCCCATGGCCTTACAGCTTATGATGCTACAGAAAGAATATTGACATTGAATCTGCTTGTATTTTCAACTGACATTTCACCCCTTCATACAGAAATGGCAAAGCAAAAGGGCACATTGCCCTTGAGCTTCCCAGCTTACTCAGAAGGCCATCCATGATAGCTATACTTGCAATTATACAGTTTTGAATAACTTTATGAACAGAGTGAGCAAAAAAACTTAATTAAAAATGAAAATTTACATATTATTACAAATAACTCAGAAAAGACAAGACCTCATCATATTCATGTACGGAGCTAATCACAATTACTTGGTTTAGTTGTAAATTAAGCATTATCAGTCTTTACCCACTTACTCAAATGGGTACCAGAATGGCATCATTTCTTTGACTTTGTTATTTCTTAGTTTACTTGTACATATATCATGCAAGTATCTCTGCAGTCTCATTTCCTCTTGTCAACAAATGAAGTAGCATTTTACTGTTAAACTTAACCAGAAACTATTCTATAAGCAACCTTATCAGCACTTTCCTCTTTTCATTGTAGCAGACAAATGTGCTTAACAATAATTTATTGTTATGGAAAAGCCCTGTAGTAACACGAAGAAATACCACAAACAAGCTAATTTTTGTCAGAGACATTGGCTGGCACAAAATGTTTTAAAGATTGTATTGCCTTTCGTTAGTTTAGGGTAAGCTACAGATCCTAAATGCATGTAAGGGTACTATACACCACTTTCAGAAATCTGTAATCTTGAATTTGACATTAATGTGCTGCTCTTCAGTCATTTATATAAATTTCTCTTCTGCCATTAACTGTATAAAAGCATAAGGTTGACATAAAAGTGTATCTACCAAAATGCAACAACATAAATCAGAGAAATGTGAAAACATTTGGTGGAAAACTAGCCCCAAAACAATTTGCTATCCTTTGGTTACCAGAATTAATTTATCCATTAAGACTATGTACCTCTGTTCAAGATTCCATTACAAATAAGGAAGAAATTAATTTTCCAGGCAGTTACATGACATAGATTTAATCAGGAGACATGTTACTGGCACTTTGTTAGGATTAAAACAATCAACAAAGAGTATGTGTTGCTTTCTAGCTGTTTTGTTACAAGCAGCTATGCAGTCCTTGTTGTTTTGTGTGCATTTTGTTTGTTATGATATTATTAATTATGGAATCTCAGGGCAGCTGACAGAGATGGAGGAGGCGAAAGACAGCAAAACATTAAAGGCAATGTTTGCTAAGGAGTTGACAATACTTTAAAGGAAAGTGCTTTCTTTTTAGCATAAATTATAGAGGTTATTCTGATTTGAATGTTACTATCAACTCTGTGAAAAGAGCAGCATTTGAAAGAATTGGCAGTAGGCTCTGGGTAGATTCTACCTATAAAGCAAGACTGCGCTGTTTGCCAGTTTTACTGGGTTTGTACATCAACAGTACTTGAGCAACCAAAGGAAAAGACATTGTTGCAGACCTGTGTCTTGAGTACATTAAATACTGTAAAATGAGAAGATTTCATTTTCACTTTGACTAAAATTGTTAATAAAATATTTTTTTTGGTATAAGCAACAGTGTGGGTACAGTGCAACTCTACAACTGTACATTTTAAGACGGATACAACTTCACATATTCTGATAAAAGCTTCTAATGAGAAAACGTCACAGATCTGTTTGAAAGTTTTGATATCTTCCAGACTTTATGCCTTGACTTTTTCCCTCTAGAAACAGTGACAAATTCATTCTTCATAAAACAAGCTATAAAGGCTGAAATTCCTGTATTTTACTTATACAAATTCTTCAGTCTACTCTGCTATCTTTCAAAAAGCAGTAGTACACTATACCTCAATAGCCTAATAACATCACATTACAGCTTGCTACAGTAATTCCAAGTTCTTGTCACTGCTGCCTCAACTTTGTCTCAATTTTCTTGCTTCTCAGAATGATCCAACTTGGAGCTTAGATATTGACTCTTGAAAACCTTCTGAATGCATCTGCTGAGGAACTACAATTCTAAAAGCTGCCTCCTAATCCCGCAGAGACATTCTGAAAACGTGCTTTCCATTTTTGTCTTTCCTTTCCTTTATCCTTGCCTGGACAAAGAGTTACAAATCCTCATTGGGTTTGTGTGACAAGGCTTTGGTAACTGGTGGGGTAGAGGGGTAACTTCTGTGACAAGCTGCTAGAAGCTTCTCCTGTGCCTAACGGAATCACTGCCAGACGGCTCTAAGATGGACCCACAACTGCCCAAGGCCAAGCCCATCAGCAACAGCTGAAAACATATTTAAAAAAGGGGAAAAAGTTGCTGTGAGACATAATTGCAGGCAGGAGAGTGGAGTCAGAATCTGTGAGAGAAAAAGATCTGCAGACACCCAGGTCAGTGCAGAATGAGGGGA